AGTACAGTAAACCATTCCTCAGGACACAGGATCAAGTGCTTTATCTGAGACCCCACTTATTCTGTCTGTGCCCACCAGTTGTGGGAATCTGGACCCATCATTTAATTTTTCTAGATGGTAATTTATTATCTGTATACACATAAATAACATTACAGAATAACTTAGATTAAACGGTAAATACCCAAGGAACTACAGTTCTACCAACTTCATTGTGGTGATTTTCACATATGACATATTTATCCAGCTGTGTGTGCATTTACAAGCTCTCAGACTCACTCAGTTACTAATTCATTCACCAACTATTTTTTGGTATGAGGCACCATGACTGGCTCTTTATTGATATGTTGGTCAATAAAGAGACATTCCCCTGCCTTTGTGAAGTTTACCAATGAGTGGACAGTAAACAAGGTAAGAATGATAATAAGCAAAACGCAAGAAAATTCATACAGAGTTTCAGATGTTGTTAAGTACTTTGCAAGTAAAGAGAAGAGAGGCTGAGAGACTGAGAGAACACACAGTGTGAGAATATTTTCAGGACAAGCCCTTTCTGAACAGAAGGCATTGCAAGCTAAGACTTCCAGAGATGGAAGGAACCTGATTTTGGAAGGGCAAGAGCAAAGAGCATTTTAGACAGAAGACATATGCAGAGATACTGAAGCAAGAACTTTCTCAGTGAGTTGAGGGGACAGAAGAGACTGGTAGACCTACAACAGTAAGGGGTGTGGGGTGAAGGGTAAAGTACCATCTCTCTCCTCACCCTGTTCACTTGAAGGTAACACAGGATTTAAATCCATGGTCCCCAAACATGTCTGCCCATTAGAAACACCTTGTGATCTTCTGAAAACCCAAAGCTAAACCAGGTAAATCCAAACTCTAGGGGTAGAATGCAGGTACTGGGATGTTTTTCAGGTTCCCAAATGATTTTAAAGTGCAAATGGATTTCAGACCACTGACTTAAATCTGTGTCAGTGATTAAGTTCTTGTTTTGATCATCTATAAAAAGATGAAGTTCAATTGTATAAGGCCAGAGCTCCCTCCTACTCTAAATTAGGTGATCTCTAGATGCAGATCCAAGGTCATTTTCATCTATCCCTTTCCTCAAATTTTCCTTCCCTTTTACCCTGGGACCACGTATTCTCCCAGCCAGCCTTAAAATCTTAGAAGTGTTTCCATATACTGTACCCATAAGTCAAGCAGTCTCTGTGGATCCAAAGTGTCCAGCCTTCCCCAAAGTCCTCTTCCCTTTTTATCTGGATAGCCACACTCTGCCATCTTACTCTCCAATCCACCCTGCCCTAATGACTTCTGGGCTCAATTCCTGCTGCTGATGGAAAGCACACCCATCCTTCAAAGTCCATCTCTAATGCCACATCCTCCAGGAAGCCTCCCTAACAAACCCAAGTGTCCACTACTACTAATCTGTAAATTTTTATGGTTTTTATAATTCATATGCTACAATTTAGAGCTAAATTATACACAGGCACATATTATACATTGACAGTATCTCTCCAAATGGATGTTAAATAAGTGACCAAACATAATTATATTCCTCCCTGACATGTATTAAGCATTCAAACATGAATGTTTTCGATGGTGGTAGAAACTACCATTGTTTTGGAGGTAGAAGTGACAAGATGTTGGTGGTAGCATTCTAGTGGTAAAAGCAGTGGCAGTGACCAACAGGGAGGTGTAAAGGCCTCATGTTAGCCAGGCACTTTACACACATCATTTCATATAAATAACTAACATGATCCTACAAAATGAGTTTTAATCTCCACACTTTACAAATAAGAAAGCTGATCTCACAGAGGTAGAGCGTCAAATGGTGGTTACTGGAGGGTGGGGACAGGATGATCGATGGGTAGTGAATTCCAGTTAGAGGGGACTAAGAAGTTCTGGTGTACTTTTATAGTTAGGTGACTATGGTAACAATTATGAACTGTATATCTCAAAAATCTGGGGAAAAAAATCAGATTGTTTTTACCCTGAAGAAATGACATGTGTTTGAGGAGATATTTATAACCTGATTTACACATTCTACATTGTACTCATGTACAAAGACATCATGAGACCTCCTTGATATATACAATTTGGGGTATCAGTTAAAAAGTAAATAAGTAGGGCTGGGGTTGTGGCTCAGTGGTAGAGCACTAGCCTTTTATATGTGAGGCATTGGGTTTGAGCCTCAGCACCACATTTAAAAAAAAGAGAGAGAAATTGTGCCCATGTATAACTTAAAAAATATTTTTTAAAAAGTAAATAAGTAAAGAAAGTTGGGGATTGGAAAGTTAAAGGAACCTAGGGGTGATGGCATATCTGAGTGATCCATGTTACCTCTTCATAAGCCTTACAGTGAATGGGCTCTTTTTTGGAGTCTCTTTGCATCTAACATAGATTAATTAGCTGATTGATATGAGCAGTTTCATGCTGTAGAAAAGTCCCGGAGGAAGTCAAGCTATGGGTTGTTCATTTGTTTTAGATCAACTAAGTTCCACCAATATTGGCACATAAACAACAAATATGAAGGAAGACATATTCTGGCCATTTACAAACCCATCTTTCTTTAAAGTCATCTAACATGGTAGGTTTGCCAGAGGAGACCCCCCCCACACACACCAGCAACCTGAGAGGATTTGCTCTGGGTGCTGAATCACCTATTGCCAGCCCTGGATGCTTAGAAGCAACAAATGCTGATTGTAATTCAGAGTCACATGATTTAGAAGTTTACCCAGAAAATGCCTGAGTCATTTAAGGTCAAGAAAATGTTTGATGTGTAGAACTCAGAATTCACCCACAGGGGAAAAAAAAAAAAAAAAAAAACCAGAAGGACCCTGGCATCTTAAACATTTTCTCCATCTCTTGATTTAATTTTTGGAAAGCAAACCTTTGGCTTCAGTTGCTGCTAAAGCAATCAATATGTCAATAATACAATATCAAAGTTTCAGATCAGACATTTATTGGAAAAAAAAATTGCTATAGCAACAGGGACCATTATCAGCATCTTTGAGGGATCCAACCTGTTTGGAGAAACAGTGCTATGTAGAAATGCAGGTAAAAATGGCAGGAAAGTGAAGAGAGAAATAATTTATGTCTAGGTATGAATCAAGGTAAAACTGGAGGGTGCATTTTAATCAAAATCCTGTGTTGTTAATAAGGTCATTTAAAATCATTTATTTCTAGATAGATAAATTTCTCTTTTTTTAAGAGAGAGAGAAGAGAGAAAGAGAGAGAGAGAGAGAATATTTTCAATATTTATTTTTCAGTTTTCAGTGGACACAACATCTTTATTTTATTTTTATGTGGTGCTGAGGATCGAACCCAGCGCCTCGCGCATGCCAGGCGAGCGCATTACCGCTTGAGCCACATCCCCAGCCCTGGATAGATAAATTCCTATTATCCTTGTGAATAAAAGGAACCACATAAGAGAATCCAAAACATAAAATCTAGATTTTTTTCCTATTGATTTAAGAAATATATTATTTAACTTGCTTTTTGTATGCTTAAATTCATTTTCCTAGCTAAGTCTAACTTTGTTATAATTAGTTTGACTTTCCTGAGATCTAACCAAGTGCTTGAGGAAGTTAATATAGAAAAATAACCATAGACGATTATGTGAAAAAATTACCAGAAATAATTCATCTTACATGAAGAGAAATGGCAGACCTAGGACCTCAATCCTAGACACACACCCCAATCCTCTAGAAATGGAAAAATTTGTATATTTTAATAAAGAAACTAAGTCTGTATGGGATAAAAGTGAGAAAAGGCGCTTCCACAATATCAGACAGATCTCAGCTCCAACCCAACAGGATCTGAAAGAAGTCAGGTGCCGTTCTGGTTCCTGGCATACACCTGTTTGTTAAAAGGAACTCGCGCTCCAAGCAATAATCCAGGACACACAAGGCATCACAAAAGGTGATCTCACCTGATTTATGACTCTCAATCCTGAGGGCAGCAGGAAGTTTTCCTTCAGAAACTGAAGCAGTTAACAAATTTGCAATAATAAAAGCTTTTTTATTTTATTTTTGTTGCATCCTCACCCTTTTAGGTTATTTGCAACAGGGTCTTGGAGTTGCCCAGGCTGGCTTCCAATTTGCAAACCTCCTGCCTCAGCCTCCCAAGTTGTAAGGACCATGGCTGTGCACCACTGTGTCTGGCCCTAAGCCATTTTTAAAAGATGAGTCATTTTGTAATTTTTTTCTAAGATTCTCTAAGTAAACCAATGGGGTCACAATCTCTTGAGAGCATGTGTCAGTGAATTTATAAACTGTGGCCAGCATTTTGTGTGGGCAGTCAAAAGATCAAGGTTTGCAGTGAAATTTTTTCATTTCTCTATACTTTCCTTTTGGATTATGGGAGATTTGAACCAAATAGCCAGCTGGCAATGTATGCCATGACACTTCACACACACACACACACACAGACACACACACACACACACGTTCATGAAAGTGGGGTGGGTATCAAGAAATACAGAGTTGCTAGATTTTTTAAAATATTTTTTTAAAAGAGTTGTGACTTGCAAAGGAATTATATTAAAAACCTTTCCAAGCCAGGCACAGTGGTGCTTGCCTATAATCCCAGTGGCTGGGGAGGCTGAGGCAGGAGGATCACAAGTTCAAGGCCAGACTCAGCAATTTAGCAAAATACTAACCAACTTAGGGAGACCCTGTCTCAAAATAAAAAATAAAGAGAGCTAGGGAAGTAGCTTAGTAAAGCACCCCTGGGTTCAAACCCTAGTACTTAATTAACTAATTAATTAATTAAAAAAATAAGAACCTTTCCCATCTTCTAGAAAAAAATATTGACAACTGAGTTTATAACAAGAGTATATATAATCCAAAGTTTTGACACTTTAGTCAACCAAATGGCCCCAATAATGGACATATATGTGTAATAATGGACATATATGTGTATGTGAACATATTACATATGGAAACTCATACATGGTACAATTAGTTATATGGAAACCAAAAATATACGTCCCAATAGACACTTACCTTTTCAAGTATAGCATTTCCCTGATGAGGACTGATATTGTGCTGGCTTATTTCTCTCTTGTACTTATATTCATAAACTTGGTCAGTGATATTGATCAGCAGAGTGGAAGGACTGAAGGACAGTTTTCCACAGTTGTAGACAGTTCCACTTTCAATATCAGTTGGTGCCGTAGCATATCGCAAAATTAATCCCATTATTAGGCCTAAAAAAAAAGAATGAATAATTGTATTGGGAGAAGACAATCCAAAATATTCACTACTGGATACTTTTAAATATACAATTTGGAAGCTTCAAAGTGGCAAGAGAAAGAGTGGGATCACTACCTAGTTTAGAAAATTGCTCACTCATAGATAGCAAGTCAATCGAATGTAGTGTTAAAATATTTGTGTGGGGTGTGTTGGCGCATGCCTGTAATCCCAGCAGCTTGGGAAACTGAGGCAGGGGGATCTCAAGTTCAAAGGAAGGCACTAAGAAACTCAGTGAGACGCTGTCTCTAAATAGAATACAAAATAGGGCTGGGCATATGGCTCAGTGGCTGAGTGCCCCTGGGTTCAATCTCCAGTAATATTTGTAGTGAACACTATTGCTAGAATACTCATCATGAATTCCCAGGATTTTTCTTCCTAACAAACCCAGAAATTTTGGATACAAGAGACATTCTCCTTTTCTATCCATCCAAGTATTTCACAAAAACCTTTGCTCTGTGATAGACACAGAGTAATCTAACAGACCCGGAGATGGTATTGTCCTGGGAGAGTTCTGGTCTGCAGATTAGCAGACCTAACAGCTAACCTATCTCAGTTAGCCTTTCAGACCAAAAAGAAGCATGTGTATTCATGGAGGGGTTCCTGTTGTCCTCATCAAGATATGACCAAGGTTTATATTTTCTCCATTTTTTTAATGGCAGCTATCTTGTGACCATGAGGAGATCTAGTCCAAGGACACAGCCAGTATATTGGGGATGGTAGCACCAATATACAGACAGACCTCAGGTCCTGAATGACATCTCTGAGCCACTGGAATAACCAGCCCACAGTAAAGTTACCCTAGTTCTAGACCTCTTTTATGAGATATATTTTCTAATTTTTCAAAAAAAAAAAAAATCAAGACTCTGCTTACCCCATCCAAATTCCTTCTAATGCCAGAACACTCCTTTTTAATGAAGAGGGAACCCAAGTGACAATCCTTGACTTTCACATTTATAAATTCTGGTCGGTTACTCATGGTAGTCTTGTAACTGTGAACTCTTCTAATATGGATTTATTAACAAACAGCAAAGAAACATCAGAGGCCCAAACAGCCCTCAATTTAAAGTTAGGATTGATATGTGACATAATTCACAGTTCACTCTTAAAAAAACACGATTTTGAAGTTTTCACCTTTCTCTTAGAAATCCAAAAAATCTAATAACCTTTTACTTTCCTAATAAAACATTTGTTAGGTGTGTATTTTGTGCCTGACATTTATAGCTTTAAAATAAAAAATACAGTCAGTCCCATGGAAGCTCAAATTTATGTAAGTGAAGACCTATAAGCCATCAGAAGTTAGCATGTTATGTGCTGTCCCAGCTGGGAGGCCCTCTAGGTTATGTAAAAGACACTCTGAAACCCTTGGAATTAAGCAACATGTGAGATGACTATTAAAGGTGACATAAGATTTGCCAAGACAAGCTGAATCATGGAGTTGGGATCCAGGGCACACGTGCAGGGCAGCACTATGTAATATCCGACAGCTGGACATTCCTGGGACCTAAGCTCTCTCTGCAGAATGGCTGCTGGGAAGCGGCTGCTCAGCAGGGACCCTCTCCTGTCTGCTTTGCATCTGGACCATTCTCACCAGTGGAACAGATGCCAAAGCAATAGGTGTCACTCCAGGTTGCAGCAGTGAAGAGGCGCATGGAGGCTCTCTCTTCTATCCTCCCTGTCCCCATCTGCTGAATAGAAAGAAACCAAAGGCTCCAAAGGCAGACAAAAATCACTGAGCTGAAACAGCATGGGTCCCTCAGAAACTGGGGGGAGGGAAGCCATCTACCAACCAGGCTTACGTGCACTGGACAACTAAGTGCATGAAAAATAAAATAGACTTGCTTTCCCAAACGTGAATTGTGCACTGTCACTTCCCAAATGGGGAAAGCAAGTCTATGCCATCATAGCAAGTTCCTAGAACCTACTGTGGCTAAATTCTGTAGTATGTAGTCACTGATATGCTGGTGTTGCTGTGTTTGCAATCACTACTAATAACCTAAGTAACACAGTATATAAACACAGAGGGACTTAGTTCTGGTGCATTTGGGGAGTCAACCAGTGAAGAAGAGAATAGTGGAGAGAAAGAAAAGAGGGGAAGAGAGACAGGTGGAGTAAAACAAGAAACGGGCTGAAAGAGAGAGGAAATGGGGCTGAGACTCTAGGCCACAAGACTCTTCTGTGGTGCTAAAAGGTGTTGATGTTTTAGTCCAATGATAATGCAGAAGTACTGAAAAATTTTAGGCAGGAGGGTACAATAATCAGATGTTCATATAAGAACTATCACTTTGGTAACAATGTGGAGAATAGATCAGAGTGAGAAGCATGAAAGAAAATAAATTTCTTCCAAGAATAATTTTTATCTTACTTATTCCTTGCTTATTCCTGTGTTTGGCCCATTCCTCTGTAATAGTTAGAAATATTGTATCCTAACCTTTGTAAGATAGAAACATACTTAGCCTTCCCTGGGCACAAGATCTGCTGCAGACCAGTGGGCCCCTTTCCATGCACTGTCAGGTAGTTACAAAATAACCAGTCAGGAGAGAGCAGGAAAAGCCTCCTCCACACTCCTGGTGGTTTAAGGTGCTTGAGTAAGAACGCCTCTTTTGAACACTCATTGGGTAACAGTTATTAAACAGGTACCACGAGTGACACTGTTGATTGCTTATTCTTCTCACGTGGGATACAAAGAAGGGAAGAACAAGAAGGTATCAGCAGGGGTTCTGCACAGAAAGAACCCCTATTAATGTCATTTGAAACTCTCCCCAGATATGTCACTTATTTTGGCAAAATGCTTTCAATGAACTCACAAGAAAATGAGAAGTGTGCACTGTCACTTCCCAAGTGGGGAAAGCAAATCTATGTCCTTGTAGCAAGTTCCTAGTACATAGTACACAGAAGCCTTCAAAATCGAAATGGCCCTGCCTGGCCCACTGTGCCAGCTCTGGTCCCAGCCTTTAGGAAGAAGCAGCCTGAGGTAAATGGAGAAAGCTGCTTGTCGCCAGAAGTGACCCCATGTAATAGCCATAAAAATGCACCTCTCAGATCTCCTGCTGCAAGCAATGCAGTCGGCCAATGTGATCCATCCCACATCCATGCAGAGATTTCCACCCCATTCCCAGCCAATGACTGTGCACAGCTGGGATTCTATGGCAGGTTGTTAGGAACTCCTCTGAAGGACAATCATGGTTCACGTTCACCCCATAAACCTCACCAAACCATTCTTATAATTGCACTGCAGCTTAAGGATTCCCCACCCAGCCTTTTTCTTTCCTCATGTCCACCAACACTGGGCTGCATCAAGGTGTGACAGCTGTCCCCATATCACACTCTCTCTCAAAGAAGTTTTCCCCAATAAACCTTTTTTGATAAGTCTCTTCTTCCAGCTTCTACTTCTTGGTTGACCCAACTTAACAAACAAGTCAAAAGGCTCTGGCCCTACTTGTCCCCAGGCCCCAAAGGTTGAAAGGAATTAAAGTGGAAGGGATAGTGGAACCTCAGCATCAAGGCACATGGTTAACAAACCCAGGTGCTCACATGTGCACCCCTGCTGCAAAGAGAAAGAAGATTCTCAATGAGAAGAGGTTGTTTGATGCCCACACAAAGATACAGATAAAGAAACTTCCAATCACTTTTGCACAGGACAGAAAGACTATTTGCTGTGGCCATGAACCCAATATAGAAATACTATATCCTAAAATTCCAGTCTTATTGGTAAAACAAGAAAATGGAACCCTATTTGTTGGGAAGGAAAAGAAGCCAGCCTGCCCTCACTAAAGCGATACCTACCCTGAATTGGGCACATATTGGGCACACAGCCCTGGCCCCAGGTTGTGGTTGGATACTCCTGTGAGATCTACCCCATGACTGGTGGCTGGCATTGCCTTCTCCAGGCGGAATCTCTAGTCTAAACACATCCCCAGCTTCTTCAAGTCACCTACGGTGGCAGCAAGGTGGACATGCTCTCTAGGGAACCCTGACCTCCCTGCAGTAGCACACAGACCCTGGAGCTTGGGTGATAGACGACATCCTGAAGCACTCACTATTCTAGAAAGTTCCTCTTGAATCCCCACTGTAGGAACCCATGCTCTGATGGATTCATGCTCACTGAGCCCTCATATTTGAGTTCCTATAACACTTAGAACTTGAACCACACATTGTAGGAGCCCGTTTTATAAGAACTTATATTGTTCAGCATTGCTTCACAGACCTTGGCTTTGTTTCCTGCCTATACATTCTGACTGTTGAAGGCAGAGGCTCTGTGCTGCTCTTCTTTCCTCTAGAAATGACAAATATGTTAGGCAGAATTGTAGCTGAACTTTCTCCAAGTCACCAAACTCCTCTGGCATTAAGAAGACAAGGATCCTTTGTGGCATCCATCAGTTACCAACATTTTTAAGTGTCACATCTAAGGGACCTCCCAACAGATACTGCCATGTTCCTGTCCTTACAGAGCTTTCAGTATAACTGTCACCTAGCAGATGTGTGGCATGCAGTTGACAGCATGATGTTTATCAAAGCAGGAAGAAGGGAGGGAGGAAGCAAAGAGGAAGCAGCCTCAGGGTTACTCACACCAAGGAATGGTTGGAAATAGAGCCGTGTCTTTCTGGACTGGGTTTCCTTTCATCATCCACATTGTACATCCACTCTCCTTCTCCCTCCATTGGGCTTGCAGCCACGGACATAGGACATTGCTCTAGGATTTGTGGGAGTTATAAAGAATGAACACAAAATGGCCTTGCCCCTAAAACATTAGAATATCTTAACCTACCAGCCCATTTCCCCCTACCGAATCCCGTGGTCCTCATTTCCACTGAGAATAAGGCATACTCATTTCCTTACAACAAGCCTGAAATTTTATAACCCCAGTTCCCCTTGAACACAGATGTTCCCCAGGAACGTAGATGGTGTGTTGGTCAATTTGTGACTAAAATGCCTGAAAAGAACAATTTAGAGGAAG